GGCAGAGATCTGGAAGATTGTGGTTCAAGGCTAGCTCAGGCAAAAAGTTTGCAACACCCCATATCAATGAAAAGGCTGGGTATGATGCCTTCATCTCCACTTCCCAGGCATAACTAGGAGGATCACAGTTGAGGCTGGCCTAGGCAAAACCATACAATACCCTACCTGGAAAATAGCCTAAAGCAAAAAGGACTGAGGGCGTGGTTCAAGTGGCATAGTGCCTGCCTACCAAGTATGAGGCCCAGAGTTCAAAACCCTAGTACTGCCACCCCCAAAAGAACATGAGAAAATTCAGAAAATAATGTAACACACTTATATACTCTACACAGATTTAACAAGTATTGTTTTTTTGTCTTACATCAAATCTTTCTCTTTTAGAAAAATATGACATTTTTTCCTTTTGTTACTTTCCCTCCCCCACTGTCTGCTGTCCTGAAGTTGGTATATTTGATTCTCTTTCATGTTTCTGCATATTTCTTTGTGACAGGATATAAACCAAGGCATAAGGAGCAAGATTGATGGAATGAAGTAGCAGTGATTAGTTTCATGGGAAGGCTTGGAGTAAGATGACAGCTGTTTAAGTTATTCATGCAGAAAAGTGCTGTGTTTTTGATAACACAAATTTGATGTTAGACAGTACTGATGTTATCAGAAAATAACATCCAGTACTTACTAATTCAATTATATATGGTCTTTGCTGTGTGGAAAAACATTGTTTAACTACAGATGTGATTTTTATTAAAAAGTCACCGAGTTTCATGATTTTCTTGGTATCTTAACTGTAAAAAATGTTAACCAGCAATATTTAGAGAGAAGTACATAACATTACTAGCATTTAAACATTTGTTAAATCCCCATTCTGCAATGTTTAAGACTACAAAGTATGAATTAAAAGTATGTTTCTATTTTTTTTTTTTTTTGGAGCATGGTGATCCTTTTAGTAACTATTACTTTTTTGAAGTAGGAGGTATCAGTCATGCATGAAAGCCAAAGTCTGGTTTTGCTACCAATTGTGCTATTTATAATTTGTTGCTAAGAAAAATGTCTTAGAAATTAAATGTACAAAAGAATGAGAATGACATTTTCAGGTGTTTCATTTTAGAAAGCTGTGATAGAAGGGAGTTATGACAGGGAAGTGGCACTGCAGCTCAGAACAAGGCACAGAAAATATTTTTATGGAATATTTGTCAGGTGAATTTCTGACTGATTTAACATAGTATACATAGTAACATATAATAATTATAAATTATTTTTATAATTAGGTTCTTACAAATTTCATCATAAATACTGAAGTAAATAATTCAGACCACAATGTCAAATAACGGTCATGTAATATAACCTTTTAGAAAGTTTAAGTAAAGCATACATTTAGTGCTTTTGTAGTAGCATAGTAGATTTTTGCTGTCTGTGTATTTGTTTTAATTCCAGAGATGTAGTCCTTTACTTTTCTTCTTTTTCCTTTTTTTTTTTTTTGTTGGTACTCAGGTTTGAATCAGGACCTTGCATTTGCACCACTAGAAGCAAGTGCTGTATTTTACTAGAGGCAAGCACTCTACTACTTGAATCACACCCCAGACCTTTTTTGCTTTAGTTATTTTTCAGATAGGATCTTGCATTTTTTGCCTGGGCTGGCCTGGCCTGGAACTTCTTACCTATGCTTTCTGTGTAGCTGAGATCACGGGCCTATGACACCATGCCTCTCTTGTTTGTTTAGATGGTGTTTTGCTAATTCTTGCCCAGTGGGCCTTCTACCATGATCCTCCCAAGTAGCTGAGATTATAGGTGTGTGCTACCACACCCAGCCCTAGCTTTTACCTTCCTGTTTTTATACTTCTTGTTTACTTACATAAATTCATGTGAGTCCTGATTTAAAAAACTGTATTTGAGAGACAGAGGTAGAAATTTCCTCCACTGTTACCAAGTGTATGCCAGTCTCTTCTATGTGATAACAGTATTAAGAATTTAAGAATTTTCTCCATTATGCATAAAACAATATGTAAAGGTTAAGGTCATCATACCCTTTGACAAATATTTTTTGGATTTGAACCCAATAACACTAGTTGTTTGAGTGTACAAGTGAATAAAATTTCCAAAAGATCACAAAGTGCAGTGCTCACATTCAGGAACAGATGAGATTCCAAATAATTGTGGTACAAGGGACCATACATAAAGGGCAGGAATACCCTTTCATTTCAAATATATTAAGTCTAATTCTAGAGTATTGCTAGAATTTTGGTTTGGTATATGAATATATATCTTGAGAGAATATATTCAGGTTCTCAATTCAAATTAATCCCCTCAGGGTTTTATTAAAGGACAGGCATATTCCTTGAGTCTTTTAGAGTCTCATGGATAGAGTAGAATGAGAATTTTGCCTTTTGGATATAATCTGTGCCAGACCCTCTTCCATTGCACCAATGTGAGGAGCGTTAAAATGTGCGTGGTCTAGTAGGTAGTGGGTCTGCTCTAGTTTTCTTGAGAATAATGTGTATATTTGTTTGCTCTTTGTGAGAGGTTCATTCTGATTATTCTTGTTCTCATCTTGTGTTGAAATATTTTTCTATTTGTTTTCTCAAGGACGTTTAAAAGGAAAGATTTCCTTATATTTGTTAAAAGTAATGTAATTGTGGGCGATCTTCTGTAATATGAAGACTATTTGGTTTATGGTTATGAGCCTGTCTAGGCTCCTCTCTGCTCCCCCCCCCCAACCCGGCCTGGTTGGGAAACCTGGAGTTAATATAGGTAAGTAGTTGAATGGATAAGTTGAGAATTAAAAGCCCATATAAATCTTGTTGGTTTTAATGAACCATTATATATTTTGTATGATATGAAAAGTGTATCTGTTGCTATTAATGATTGATCCTGTTCTTTCTCTGTTCTCACTGTTCCAGTTGTGTTTCCTTAGTTGATTGGGAACTGTTCAGGAGCAGTTGCTTCTTGCTTATGAATGGGTTAGATCTAAAGTGAACTTGTTAGGTAGAAATTATGAATAGTTAATAGTTGAAAGGTTGGCAAAACACACCATCTCTCAATGTGTCCTTTATCTCCATATTTTTCCTCTAGACTTGAAATATACCACAGTTTCTTTGAATGAGTTCGAAATTTTACTTTCTACTTTTTTTAAAAAAAGGACAGGAGAGTCAGTATATTACTGTGAGATGTCTCAAAACTACGGAAGTAGTGGTCCTAAGTACCTCATTTGTTCATAAGACCCTGCCTGAGGCAGAATGTTCCATATATTTTATATCTTTTGTTCTGATGCTGCATTTTGGAAGTATTAACTTATGTGGTAAAGAGTATTCTGAGGCAAAATATGTTCAGTGAACAACCCTTTTCTTTAAAGAGTTCTGCCTAGTCATCATGAAGAGAATGCATCTTTGCAACCTTTCAATGTTGACAAAATTTAAACTCCTGTGCCCTAAGGCATTCATTATATGACGTACTTCTTCCCTATGGATGATATCAGCTCTGTACAGTCCTTGGGAGAACTGAGGAAAGAGTCACTTGATGTACTTTGAGTAAATTTAGTTGTCTCATGAAATCCAGTTGAGAAAGGCTGGTAGGAGACAAAGACTGCACCTTAATTCAAGGCCACTGATTTCTTGCCAGATGGATTTTTTTTGGGTAATTATTGGCTTGGGGCAACATTGAATGGTGATTTAAGAATAATGGACACCACTTCTAATACAGTGGTTCTCAAAAGTATGGTCCTGGACTTGCTGCATCATCTGTGAACTTGTGGAAATGCACTTTATTCTGCCCCAATGTTAGTGTCCTGCTATTTGCTGAATCAGAAAATTGGCCATGAGGAGTAGGGTGGTGCGGCTCCTTGAATGGTGTTTTAAGAAACCCTCTAGGTGACTTTGTGGCATAATAAAGTTTGAGAACTAATTTTTGTGCTGTTCACTAATTCCTGATTTTATTTTTTCTTCTAAATGTCTCTGGAGGTATGTTCCACAGTGTTAGAAAAAAACAGATCTGACTCTCCAAATCATCTTGTTTCCAGAGATGCTCTCCTGAATGTATTCCTAATGAGTACTTAAAATTTAAAGTCATCTAGTTAGGGAGTTTATTTACAGATTGGATCGTGGATCATTTTATTTTTATTTCCTTCAAACCCTGGCCTCTTGCATGCCAGGCAAACACTCAACCACTGAGTTACATCCTCAGCCCATTTTACTTTTCTGATCAAAATTCTTCAGTGTGATGTAGAGTCCAGCTATTTTTTCGCAGATGTTTTCATGTCAGTTCCTTATTGATTTACAGTGCAATCATGTGTTTTTCAAAATTCCTTATTCTCTTGTTTCCCGTTTATAATCTAGTTGCATTTTATTCAGAGAATGACTTTTATCACAGGTCAGCAAATTAATTTGATTACCCTGAGCCCAAGAATAAATTTAATACTTTCAAGGAATCATTAAAATAAATTTAAAAACTATGTGGCAGAGACTGAATGTGGCTTACTGTACCCACAGTATTTACTACTATTTTCATGAAAAGTTTGCTAACCCCTTATTTACATACTACTTATGTGTTGAAATTTGTTGACGAATTGCACTGATCAGGTCCTTTGTATCTTTACTGATTTTTTTTTTTCTTTTTAACATAGAGTCGGGGTATAAGTTGTGGTTTGACCTATCAATAATTGAAGACTTTGTTACTTTGGGTTTTTTTTTGAAGCAGTTTTATATATACAATTTAAGAGCTTCTAGGTCCTCTTAGCTGCATCTTTTCTTACTACACAGAATTTGTTTTTAATCCCTAATACTTTTTGTTTTAAAGTCTGTTTTGTTTGACTTGTGTTTGTTGTAGTCACCAGCTACTTTTGGTTATTATTTGCTAGATCTTTTTCTATCCCTTAATTTTTAATATCAGTAGCAACTGCTTATCTTTTTTTTTAGCTAATTGTTTTTTTTTTTTTCTCATTGTACAGGTCAATTTGTTGAGTTGATTGCCCCTCCTATCTATGAACAGATAAATGTCATCTTGTTTTCCTTCAGTTTCACGTTTCTCGTTGTATGGATCACTGACTAATAGATGGCTTTACCTCGTCTCACAGGAGCCTTGCGCTCCTTCTCAAATGTCACCAAGCAAGATAATTATAATGAAGAAGTGGCTGACTTAAAGGTACATTTCTTAGATGAAAACCGTTGTTAACATAGAATATGGGCAAAGAGTTGACATTCCTTTTTCTCAGTTCTGTGTACTTAAAATGGAAGTTTTACCCTGTTTCCATCTTGTAAGATCAACAAGGACATGGGAATACTGATATTTCGTATGAGAATGCTTGTGTTAAGCACCTATGACCGTATTGTCAAAGGGAATATCAGAACTATGATATCTAGTCCTTTGTTTATTTTTCTGTTGACTCCTGTCACAGTTTTGTGATTTAATCCAGTCTTTAACTTTTGAATCTTCTGAGTAAGGTTTTGGGTCTCTAGTAAAATACTTATCAAATGAGCAGAAATAATGTCTGTACCTTAACATGAGCGCAATAGGAACATTAACTTCTTGATCTCAGTAGTTGGTCTTTTAATTGACATGTCTTTTTACTTGATAAGGGAGGCATTTAAGGCTTAAAAAGTTGTTTTTAAAAGCTATTTTATGACTAAAACTTGAGAAATAAGTTTTAGTAAGAAACAAAAAATTTATATGGAATATAATAGAGTCTCTTTTAACTTTATAGTAAAGACTGACCCCTCTTTTACATGTTTCCTTTACATGAATAGTTTCACAGTAAGTAATATTAATTATTAGATTCTACCAGGACAGAATGATTACCACATTGGAGCACACTTCTGTCTTATGGAAGGAACTTCAGTCTCTTTTCTACAGTGGTTGCAGTTTGTGAACCACATTAGTGTGTATGGTTTGGCAATGCATTTCTTCTATAGGTAAACTTATTAATATAAATTTTAAGAAATAAGTTGCATACAGTTATAAATTTAATGCTAGAGAAAAATAAAAGTATATGATATCAAGGCTTGCAGAAATTCTATATATGTTATAAAATATTTAGAGGAGGGCTGGAGGTGTGGCTCAAGCAGTGGACAGCCTGAGTAGCAAGCATGAAGTCCTGAGTTTATACCCAGTTCTAGAGTTCTAGAAAAAGAAAGACATATTTAGAGGGAAAATTTCTAAAAATTTTCCTTGATATGTGGTATTTATTACTTTTAAGAAAATACCACAGATTGGGTGGTGTAAACAGCAAAAATTTGTTTCACAGAGATGAAGCTAGAAGTCCAAAGATCAAGGCAGATTTGATTTCCTCTGTGGCATGTGTTCTGCTTGCAGTTGGCAGCCTTCCCACTCTGTCTTCACATGAGCACATCCCTGGTGTCTCCTTAAATGTCCAAATTCTATCTTCTTGCAGTGATACCAGTTAGAAGGGATTAGAGTCCATCCTACTGACCTTATTTTAACTTAATTACACCTTTTAAAAATGAATTGTAGTGTTCTGAGGTCCTAGGGTTTAGGGCTTCAACATAGGAATTTTGAGGGGACATAATTCAGCTCATAATATGTGGATTCTGATAAATTAGCAGATGTCAAGGTGTTTCCATTACTATGTTGAATTTATTTATTTTTAATTTTTAGATTACTGTAATTTCTTCTTGCATTTGATTTTGTATTATGCACATCTTGGTTTCTAAAGGCATGAGGCAAGGGTAAAAGCTGTAGCCATTCATACTGTTTTTATATATGCTTAAGGTCTTTAAAATTAAGTATCTTTGAGTTGCTAAAATTTGTAAAAATTAAAGTATTATATCAGATTTCATATTGTTAATGAAACCTATAGAGTTATTTAAATACATAACTGATGAGCTGGCTTTTTACTAGGAAAGGGCACATGCTTTGGAAATGCAGCCATGATGGTGTGAACTTTATAGCCCTTACGTATGTGAGCTGCACATTTGAAGAAATAGCTATGTAATTTAGTTTATGAAGGAACCGGTCTCACACTGTTTCTGTTTTTTGAAGTCACTTTAATTGCTGACACCTTATTTGACAATATTTAGAATAAAAACATCATTTTCTTATAGGTTAGAATTTTATTGCCAGTAATCCTTATTCAGTTTTACAATTAATGGCTTCACTTAAAGATTGATCCTAGGGAGAAAAGAACTATAATAGTTCTTAGGTAGATTTTTTTTCTCTGATGATACAGAATTTTGTTTGCTCATAAAACAGTTAACCTTTTTTAGAATGGTAACTATTTTATACTGTGCACAGCACTTAAAAAAAGGCTATATTTGTACATTTAATGAATATTAATATCTTGAATTATTTCCTTTCCTCACTTTCCCAAGGTCCTTTGCATGTTACTCTGGCTAATGATGCAACAGATCATTTTAAAATTTAAAAGCATATAAGGATTACATGCTTGTCCTGTATTATTTTATTTATTCTTATAAGCTTTTCAATACCTTTTTCCCTTGAGTAAGAAAAAAATGAGTATATAACGAGTCTCATTTTAATGTAATTTTATTTTTCTCAGTAGTGGGGTTTGAACTCAGGGCCTTATGCTTGCTAAGCGGATGCTCTGCCACTTGAGACACACCCTGGCCTTCAATGTAACTTTTTAATCTCAAAAAATGTCCAACATACATAAAATTAGAGATAAAAGTATAGTGAATCATTGTATTTCTTTGACCCCATTATAACAATTTAATTGATTTTATGACAGTACATTTCATGTGTGTCTTTGCCCATTCTCTGTAAACTCAGATTGACAACCCTCTTTTTAAATTAAAAAATTGAAGCAGGAAAGTAATTATGCTTATGAATGTCACCAGTATAACCAAGAGAAAAATTACAGTTTTCTACCTTACTCACCAGTTTTTCATTTGGCTAGAGTGCTTTATGACTTTTGTCTGTAGGTCAGAGCCATTATTTGACAAAAAATTTTTATTGCATTCTGGAGTGAGTTCTTAAGGATGAAAAGATATATTCTCAAGAAAAGAGTGTATATAGAAGAGTCTCTCATATGCCTAACCTGTTTTAGGGTCATACTTAGGGAAGCAATGCTGACTTGACTATATTGAACTTTTCAGAAGAATCCCAATTTTCTTCAAATGCCTTTCCTCAAAAAGTATGACATAAAGGGCTTATATATTTTGTAGTCTAAGCCATGTTAAAAATAAGCAGTTAGAAAAATGGAAAGAAGTATGTGGGATATTACCAATTGTTACTGTCTCCTGGATGCCTGGATGTTGAACTTTTTACTTTGATGTACTTTCACTTGCTGTGTGAAAATGATTTCATAATGAGTGTGCAGTATAATTAAAACTTAGAAAAGCTTTTATTAACCATATCTTTTAAACAAATGATATTTGTGAAATCACATTTAAATAAGGCTTCTTCTGAGAATGGTGAATTTGGATATGAATAGATATAACTTTGAATTCTGAAGGGTAGTGCCAAGTTGTTACTATGTAATAAAAGATATATTCCGTAAGAGATGGATTGGAGAAAAACTTTTAACTGGTATTTCTGCTGTCTGTTTCAGCTGAAGCGATCTAGACTTCAAGAACAAGTTTTGGACTTGGGCCTGACATGGAAGAAGATAGTAAAATTTTTGAATGAAAAACTGGAGAAGAGTAAAATGCAAAATATAAATGAAGACTTAAAAGATATTTTACAAGCTGCAAAACAAATAGGTATATTCTTTTTTAAGATAACCAGTAGGTTCAAAACTAGTTCCTTGTAAGTATACTGGACAGTGGGAGGCTAAAATTTTGAGGTATACATAATTATAAAAGACAGTCTTATGTATTAAGGAGTTTAGCACAATATGGCTATGATGGTAGTAAATGACCAGTTGTAATCAATCAGACATGAGGGATTTATAGAAATTTAGGATATAAAAACCACTGTTTTTATTGAAATAAGGATTAGATAATTTAATATTGCTCCAATGAACCTTAAAGACCATGTAGCTGAATCTATTATTATAAATGATGGAGTATTTAATTTATCTATGCTTTGACTGCTTCACTTCCCAGCCCCTACTAATAATCTCATTAATTGATTATATTTGAAGAGAAAATTATAATTTGCAATTGTAATACTGCATACTTAATGTAGGTTTATTTTCTCAAGGTTTAGAACAAAACAAAGTGAAACAAAACAGATTATTGTCTGGCAGAATGTCTCAGTTTGTGTGTTGAAATTCAACCTGTTACTCCAAATTCTTGATAGCTAAAAGGCATAATTAAGACTGCTGTCATTATAACTTTTTCAAATCCAGCAGGTTTATACCTACAGAAAGTCCAAGCTCATTCTCTGTCCCTGTGTACTTTGACTTCCACCTTTCTCTGAGCCTCACATTCATCCTTGCTTTCAGCAATTGTGCTTCAGACACATGGCTTTCTCTTACTTCCTCAAATCCAGCATACTACATTCTGTTAAGGAGATTTTGCACATAAGCTGCTTCTTGTGCTGTGAATGGCCTTCTGTCCTAATCTTAGTGCATATAGATTCTTTTTTGTTTTTCTTTTTCCTTTTTTTTTTTTTTGGTCTTACTGTGAATTGAACCCAAGGCTTCAGCTCTTTTATTTGTATTTTGTTTTCCAGATTAGGTTGCCCAGGTTGGCTTTGAACTCTTGATCTTTATTTCTCTGCTTCTTGAGTAGTTGGGATTATAGGTGTGCTTTACCATGTCGAGCTTAGATCCTTTCTTATCATTCCAAACTCAGCTAAAATATTATTTCCCTAGTGAAGCCTTTGTTGACCATTCAGTCTTAACTTGTAACCTAGATGCTCTTTTTCTTAGAACCTTTCAAAGCATTTTCTCCATAACATTTATCATTATCTGATATTTTGCTTGTTTATTGCCACTAACATGTATATTTCATAATAGGATTTTTTTTCTTGTTCACACTTCATCCTTAATGCTTAGAAGAGTCTTGTGTATTTCAAAATCATAATGAACATTCATATGTCAAATAAGCGGAAAAGTTTTCTCAGGTGATTATTTGGTGGAGGAAAAGCTAAGATCCCTTATCTTATTATATACCAGTTGGTAATTTTCTTCTTTACACTAACTTTCGTGGGTGTTTCTGTTATATCTCAGACTAGGAGAGTTATTTATGATCATTAAATCTTTAACCTCTAAAAACTTGTCAAAAGTTCAAGAACATTGGTAAAAATTTAGTTTGCGCCTAGGGGAAATAGAGTAAGTACACTTTGATGAGATTTGTGATAGCATTTGGCATAGAAAACACACTTCATATTTTAAGAATGTAGGGAAAAGTTGATTTTTAAAAAATAGTAGTGAAAATGGAAAATCCTGGTATACTTTGACTTGATCTTAAAAACCCTTTTGGTCTATGCTATCTTCATTTGTAAGATGTTGGGGCCACCACTGTCCGGCAAAAGTACTTTTCAAAAACTGTACAATCTTTTTTTCCTGTTCTTTAGTTCCATTATAAAAATGCTTCAGCGTACATAGCAAAGATAGTAATGAAATGTTGAGCTTATTTAGTACCATGACTAAGTTAATTCTTTATGTAAATTATGTGTTAGATTAAAAACAAGTTACCACTTAGGCTGCTTCCCCAGAGTCAAAGAACAGTTTTTAACATTCCAGTCATTAAATATAATCTTGTTGGTACAATAGCTGATTCATACTTAAAGACTAATAAACCAACTGGTGTGTTTTAAGGATTGATAGCTTGACATATAATATTATAAAAGAGTATTTCTGGGACACGTAAAATCTTGGTAATGAATTTAGGGAAATACTCCATTACATTTACTTTTTAATGTTCTGTTTAAGTTGAATAACTATTTGATTTAATGAAACTAATAGTTGATTAGTAGTTAGGCATCTTTCTAAGTGAAAATGCTGCTTGTACTAGAGATGTAATTAAAACTAGGAGTTTTGAAAGCATGAGTATGATGGGTATTTCCTCTTTCAGTGCATATACTTTTGGCATAACTATTAAAAAGGTAAAGCAAGAGAAAAAAGAAAATGGATCAATTGTATTTGAGTATTATGTAGTATTAGACACTTGTTTAATGCTGTGTAGATTAATTAGAGTAATAGTTATCTTAAGCTGGAAGAAACAAGAGGGAACCCTTTCATTTTGTATATGAACAAACAGCGCTCACGATGATTATGTGAGTCCTGTGGTTGGTATGTGGCTTATGTAAGTCTAGATCCATGTTCTGAAAGAAAAACATAATAGATATCCTAGATTCCTACCTTTCCTTTTATTGTAGTCAGAGATCATGTTGTATCAAGTGTACTTTTCACTAGTCTTGAATTCACTCCCCTTATATTTGTTCCATTGCTGTTTCAAGGTTTTCATCTCATATCTGAATTGCTGCAGTAGTTTATTGTTTCAGCCTTCCTTTCTCCTCCAACTTCTTCACTGTCACTAGACTGATCTTTATAAGCAGCAAAGCTCACTTTTATTCCACCTTATCCTTTAGACACAATTCCTTATAATGTCACATAAGATAATCCCCTTTATGAACTGACACAATTTACTTTCTTATCTGTGTCCTCCAATACAGGCAGTGCTTTCTGTTTTAACTTCCTGATCAGTGCATACTGTGTTTCTCTTTTTTAGGTGTTAAAATATTTTTTCTGTTGCGTTCACCTAGTGGATGCTTCTAATCGCTGAAGAAATGGCACAGATTTCATTCATTCTTGGTCTCTATGATTTCTTTCTTATTTTAGTGACAATGCTTCATTAGACTATTACCTGTTCCTTATTTTTTATGGTACTTTTCCCATTATTTGATAATTGTTTGCTTCTTTCTCTTCCCTGGTGAACTGTGAAATACCTCCATGATATAGGGATTATAGAAATCAAAAAGAGGTTAAGATTCAAAGTAGCAATCCGTAAAACACATCATGTAATACATTGATTGCTATTCCCATAATTTGTTTTTACCACAATATTATCTTAATACTAAAGCATAGTTTATTTATAAAGTATTACAAGGTTATTTGTATTGGGTTTGTTTATGCTTCCAGATTGTAATCCCGTATTTCTTCATTGCTTTAGTAGTTCTCTAGTGCAAAATAATTATACTTTTTTATAGTTTTCTTAATTATTCTCAGTAGAAAGTTGTTCCTAATTACCTTGTCTACCATTTTATAGTTTGTAACAAACTCTAAACTGTTAATTGAATCTACAATTTCCAAAATAACTATTTTTCACAAGTTTTCTAAAATGCCACCTGCCATATACCATAAACAACATGCCTTTATAATTGCAAATGTCTTTCATAGAATGGCCAAATCCTGCTAATATCATTTTATATTTCCTTTCTAAGTCATCACTTTTTAAACTGCTTTCCATCCAAGGTTTTGATTCCTAGGTTTTTTTAATAGTAAAATCTTACTTTTTGATAACCTACAAACCATAATGGATTCACCTAAACTACAGTTTGCAAAGCCACTCCTGGCCAACCTGTCTTCTGAATGATACTTTTCTTAAAAAGGTAAGATGCACAGAAATATCAAAACCCAAATAAACTAGAGGTTAGGAATTAAGGAACACAAAGTAGATAGGTCTTTGTGTGGCAAAACACAATAATTCACAATTTGAATAGTGAAAGAAACAACTTCACTTCTGGTGGAGTCTTGATATGGAACAACATTGGATCAAATCATTAGATCATGTGGCACAACTTACAGACCATTCTTGATGCCCATATCCTAGTCTTTCTCTATAATGTACAAATAATACCAGATTTCTGAAATGATTTGAAACTCAGTAAGAGATTCAAACCCAGAAAACATGATACTGGCATTTGGGTTACTTTTTCCAGAAGAGAGAGGGAGGAGAAGATGATCAGAGTTTCACAGATTCAAAGGACTATGATGACGAAAATGGCTAAAATGGACAAAAGGGTAAATACAAAATCTGAGTATTCATCCATTAAGGAGCTTCAGGACTAGGGAGTGTGCTCAAGTGGTAGAGTACCTGCCTGGCGAGCATGATGCCCTTAGTTCAAAATCTAGTACCACCAAAAACAAACAAACAAATAAACCCAAATTAAATCTAATCAAAAAACTTAAGAACAGAGAGTTCTCTTGCCTTAGTGGCTTTACTGGGAAATGTCATATAATCTTTTAAACTGATAGGGTACTTTATAGATTAAAGGTGGTTCATGATTGTGGGTTAACATTACATTAGGTTCTAGATGTGATAATGATGGTGTGACCAAGTTAAGAACCAATCCTAAATCTCAGGTGATGCATTTTTAGGACTTATAGTGAAATGTAGTGAAGACTGCAATATATTATCAAATAAAATACACATGACATGTGTATATGATCATGAGAGAGCTTGTAAGTGCCTGTGAATCCATAAAATGTTAACTATTAGTGGATCAATAACTGGGGAAATTGTGATTTGTGATAAAGTTAAAAAAGGCTTAAAATCATATGATTATCCAATAGATGAAAAAAAATTTTATGATTATTTAACATCTATTTATGATAAAAATTCTTCACAAGCTAGGAATAGCAGGGGAGTTCCTTAATCTGATAAAAGATTATCAGTAAAAAAAATAGAGCAGTGTCATGCTTAATGGTATGATAATAAGAATAATAATTATTTCTAGAATCTAGGAAGGGTAGGGAAAAGTGGAGGTAGAGGAAGACTGGATATTGTGTACCAAAATATAGTGAGAAGTG